CTGGATCTGCAGCTGGTGGGGTCATTTAAGAACCTGGCATCCTGGCTGTAGAGAGGAATCTTCACGCTCAGAGGTGTGTGAACATGGATCAACCTTCTCTTCACTGTGACGCTGTGTCACCTGCCCCCCGAGATCTTGCCTTTAAACTCAGAAGTTCACAGAGGCTCTTTCCAAAGTCCCTTTCTTCCCTGGGAGGAATGCTGGTGCCAGCTGCCAAAGGCTGCTTTTCATTCGTTCGCTGTCAGAGGCTCTCTTTTTTTTGTTTTCCAACATCTTTATTGGAGTATAATTGCTGTACAATGGTGTGTTAGTTTCTGCTTTATAACAAAGTGAATCAGTTATACATAAACATATATCCCCATATCTCCTCCCTCTTGCATCTCCTTCCCTCCCACCCTCCCTATCCCACCCCTCTAGGTGGTCACAAAGCACCGAGCTGATCTCCCTGTGCTATGCGGCTGCTTCCCACTAGCTATCTACCTTAAGTTCGGCAGTGTATATATGTCCATACCATTCTCTCACTTTGTCACAGCTCACCCTTCTCCCTCTCCATATCCTCAAGTCCATTCTCTAGGAGGTCTGTGTCTTTATTCCCGTCTTGCCCCTAAGTTCTTCATGACCTATTTTTTTCTTAGATTCCATATATATGTGTTAGCATGTGGTATTTGTTTTTCTCTTTCTGACTTACTTCACTCTGTGTGACAGACTCTAGGTCCATCCGCCTCACTACAAATAACTCAATTTCGTTTCTTTTTATGGCTGAATAATATTCCATTGTATATATGTGCCACATCTTCTTTATCCATTCATCTGTTGATGGACACTTAGGTTGCTTCCATGTCCTGGCTGTTGTAAATAGACTTGCAATGAACATTTTGATACATGACACTTTTTGAATTATGGTTTTCTCAGGGTATATGCCCAGTAGTGGGAGGCTCTCTTTATGTTAATGCCTTCCCTGCATACTTCTCAGGACCGTTCGGATTTGCATCTGCAGTGGTTAGAAGGGTTTCTGAAACAGACTTAACTGAAGTGGAAGTAATAAAGGCCCTGGCCCTGGAGAGACGTGGTTTTGAGTCAGAAGGCCTGGGTAGTCCCATCTCTGCTAGCGATAAGCTGAGTCATGGTGAGAAGCCCAGACCTCTTTGGGGCTCACAGTATTATTATAAATATGTGATATGATATATGATATCATATCATATGATCTAATCTAATCCTAATCTAATCTAATCTAATCTAATATATAGTAATTCCCCTACATACCAACCTTCAGGTTGCGAACTTTCAAAGATGGGAACGTGCGTTCGCATGTCCAGTCACATAAGTTAGTTCACGTGTCTGGCGTACATTGTCACGTGTGTGCATCCTCTACAAGTGGCTGTGCTTTTGGGTACTTTACTGTACAGGACTGTATAGAGTACAATAGTGCAGTATCTTTATTTCAAGCCCAGGGTGTCTGGAAGCAAGCGTAAAAGCAGCAGTGATGTAGCTGGTACTGCTAAGAAAAGCCAGCTCTTGTACTATACTAGTGTATACTTTTCAAGGTACTGTCCTGTAGATTAAAAATGTTTTCTTTACTTTTGGTGTTTGTTTTTTATGTGTTACTTGTGTGAAAAGTATTATAAACCTATTACAGTACAGTACTATATAGCCGATTGGGTTAGTTGGGTACCTAGACTAACTTTGTTGGACTTACGAACAAATTGGACTTATGAATGAGCTCTCAGAATGGAACTCATTTTTATGTAGGGGACTTACTGTAATTAATATAACATAATATAATATAATGAAGTACTTGATGTGAAAGTATTCATATCAAGAATGCCATGCTCGTGGGCGATTAGAGAGGACTGTTTGGAGCTTGAATGTAACCGACAAGTATCCATCACTCAGCCAGCCCTCCTTATTCTCTCATTGGCTTTTATAATACACGTGTGTGTGTTTGTTATGCCATTAGTGCGTTGCCTGCTCCCCTGTTTTAGCGTCTATTAGGTGTATTACACTGAATGTTTGTGGTACCTAAATGTTGTATCCCAGCAGTGGTCGAATGCTTCTTACAGGTGCCTTCCCTGGTAGAAGACGCTGTTTATTTATCTTTATGTAATCGCCGACTTTGCAAATGATGTGGACATGATCTGTTGTCTGGAAATGTGAGAGGAATGAGAGACTATATAAGCAAATAACTCCTTGGTTCCTTTGAAAGCTTTTAGACTGGAAAGCACATGAATCAAATAAATCCTTTGTGGAATTTAGATCATTGGCATAAATGTGTGTAGGTTATAGGCAGAAATGAGAAAGGAAGGCTAACATAAATTAGATACTCGCATCGTGAATGCATTTGATAATCTGCAAAGATTCTCTTAGTTATTGAAGATGCTGTGCTTTTATAACTTTCTGTCTACATGTCTTGTTGAGTATTCTAGAGAGGTCCTCAGGAATTTGCCAACCAATTTCAGAAACATATTCTCTTGAGTTTTTTTTTTTTTCTAAGAACTGTGTAACTCAGATTCTCTAGAGTAAAGCTGAATTTTAAACATTAATATGTATATATTCTTATAGTGAGAACTTGTTAGACAATTATTGGAATTTAGTGTGCAGTTTTTAAAATGAATTAGGAAAATACGCCTGGAGGGCTGCCATTCCTGTGAATGTGAATTAGATCATAGCGTGTGTGAAAGAGCAAAGTCATTTCTGCTTACTCAGTGTTGCCTCTCACCCTTGTATTTTTATGTAGCAAATGCAGCAAATATGTGTCCTGATTTTTAAATTTTATCTTATTGAAGTCTAGGTGATTTACAATGTTGTGTCGATTTATTTCATATTCTTTTCCATTGTGTTTTATCACAGGATATTGAATATAGTTTCTTGTGCTCTACACTAGGATCTTGTTGTTTATCTATTCTGTATATAATAGTTTGCATCTGCTAATCCCAAACTCCCACTCCATCCAACAACCCCCACTTGGCAACCACAAGTCTGTTCTCTATGTCTGCGAGTCTGTTTCTGTTTCATAGATAGGTTCATTTGTGTCATATTTTAGATTCCACATATAAGCGATATCATATAATATTTGTCTTTCTCTGTCTGACTTACTTCACTCAGTATGATAACCTCTAGGTCCATCTGTGTTCTGATTTTTCATTTGCTTTATCTAACTTCCCCAGATAAATTGTGAGCATCTTCACACCAGAGAAAGGGCTCCTTCATTTTGGCCACGTCCTGGGCAGAACCTTGGTTTCACTGCACATTTATTCACCTGCTTCCTCAGTTCCAGGCACTGTCCCACCTAAGCTACAGGGTTTCACGCACTCGGTTCTCTGACAGCCGCCTTGGGGAGCTGGTTTCATGATCCCATTTTCTAGATGAAGGAACCGAGGTGGGAAAAGTTGACTCCCTGGGGTCAGAGGTCTGAAGTGAGCATGGGGGTTGGGGAGAGGGGGCTGGATCACACCCAGGCTATCCTGATGCTTTGACCTTTGCCCCCAGGATCGTCATCACCACCTGACCAGGAGCACCTCTCCATCCTTCAGCTGTCCCCCTCCAGCCTGTCCCCCCCAGGACAGCTGCGAGCTCTCTGATGGGCAGCAGCTCCTGAAGCAGCCCCTCCCCGTGGGGGCCATTCAAGGATCTGGGCTTCAGCTCTTCCCTATGGGGAATATTAAATGCGCACCCGCCCCGGATGCTGTCGTGGACATGGAGCTGGGACCCTTGCACCTCGGCAGCACCGCGTCTGACACGGGCCCGGAGCGGGCGGGGCGACAGAACACACACGTCCTGTGCTGACCCGGGCGGGGGTCGGCCTCAGAGAGTCCCGAGAGCGAACTCAGGCGACCTGCGTCTCCGACTGCTTTCACCGATGTTCTGTCCTCAGCAACCTGTCAGCCCTGAGTGGCCTGGAAACCGTTAGCTCGAAATAGCGGGAGGCCGTTGGAGTCACACACAGGTCTCAGGGGATCTGAAAGCAGGGCAGGACGCTGGGACACAGAACCAGGACGAGGATCTCTGGGTGCTCACAAGGCTGATCCATGTCCCTGAAGCGTGGCCACACTACCTTTGGCCTCTTCTTCACCAGGTAGATTCACCGGAAAAGTGCTTTACCCATAAACATGTTAGTCAATCTCACTTACGGAAAACTTCCTTAAATGTAACCATTTCCCCAGCAATGCTTTGTAAATGAAGGTGCTTGTAAGGCTCTGAGCATGCCTTTTTTCATCCATTCATTCATTCATTTGACTAATATTTATTAGTTCTAGGTACTTGGGGTACATACATCAGTGAAGAAAACCAACGAAAAATTGCTAACATCTTGATATATTTGTGTATTTGCTTTCATTCAGTAGATCTTTACTGAGATGCGGGGCATCTGGGGTATGCAGTAGAATAAACACTCATGGTTTTGGGAAGCCCTATGCATTCTTGGAGGTCACTGTTTGAGGTTGTGTATGGTACGAACGTAACCTCGGGTGTGGTCGCTCAGACCCCAGCAGACCTACCGCCCACAGCTCTGCAATGTCAGGCCGAGGGGCCCCTGTAGTCACAGGGCCCGCAGGGTTAAGTACAGTTGGGAGAGTTGTTTTCTGTGATAAACGAATGCCTGGCTTCATCCCGTAAGCAGCCCCTATTCCCTTCCATCCTTCCCAGCCACGCTGTCATCCCTTGAAGCTGGGATGTTCTCAGGGTCTGTCTCCAGCCCAGCTCTGCCTTCTTAGCTCAGTACTTTGCTTTCACACTTTCACCCTCCCTCTTGTATGGACTAGGTGTTGATTCCAGAATTTGCTGATTTTTTGAAAAGATAAATCAGTCTCTGTGTCAATGAATTACAGCAAACTGCACAAGTGAGTTATAATTACTTCCTGAATATTCTATTTTTGAGAACACAAAATTTTCCAACAATTTGGAATAGTTACTTTCTTTTTCTGCCTTCCTGTGAAAATGGACTTAGAGTTTATTGATCTTAGGGCTATACAATAGTAACCTTATTTTTAAAATTCAACTCTCAGGTTTGGTGATGGTTATACAGTCGAGGTTTGGCTCTGCAACAAAGCAAATCAACACAACGCTGTTTCCGACTGCTTGAAGCTCTCTTTTCCAGGAATCCAGTTTAAGGTAGTGCTAATATTGTACATTACTCCTTTGTTTTGAGCTAAAAACATCTTATGAGTGTACTTGTCTTTTCCCCTGTTTTAATTATTTGCTGTCAAAAGATATCGCTTATCGTTCTGGCCTCATTGCAAAGTATAGGCCATACCTCTCCCCGCAAAATAGCAGGGGTGGTGGATCTCACATGACCTCGCTGAAGGACGACAAGCCTGCTTTTCCCCTTGTTGGATCACCCAGAGCAGATGGTGGTTACTCATCCCCCCTTTTCTGTGGGAACAACTTCATCACACAGTTTGTTTTGTTGAGGATGGAAGATACAAAAGTTAATTTCTCCCATGCATTTGCTGTGGGGTTCGTAGACCCAGGGATTTCAACATTAATTCACAGGAAGGGCCCTGGGCTTGAGATCACAACCCTCTACACACTTGATGCAAAGTGTGGTCCCTGAGCCAGCCGGTCTTCATCACCTGGGAGCAGGTGAGAGCTGCAGCATCTCAGTCCCCAGCATACTGACCCCAAATTTGCACTTTACCAAGGGGACCAGGCGATCCTTGTACACACAAATGTCTGAGAAGCGCCATCTGCAGTTCTCTTGGATGACCCCATGATTCCAGTTTGTCGTAACTTCTAATAGATTGTAGTCCGTAAAGGAGCTACACATTGTGTGTCTATTTCATCCACGACCATTTGGTAAAATCCTACCCGGCGAGAAGCATGCTGTCCAAGTCACAGTGGTTCAAGGACCACTCTAAACTACCCCATGAACCCGTTGTTGGGATCTCCATGTGCACCCGTGGAAATGAGGCTCAGAACGGTTAAACATCTCACCAGGAGTTGGTCAGCTAACGATGGGGATGGCCGGGTGCTCCCGTGTGAGGTTCAGGTGTCTCTGTGCATCTCTGTGATGTCACATATACCTCCTTTTTCTCAGCTTTCGATAGGTGTCTTCTTTCCCCTAGAGAGGGCTTTCCAGGCTTGTGGCAAGGCGAGGGGGGGCAGAAAGGGGCAGAGAGGCCACCCCACCCAGGGGGACACCTCTTATCAAATATGCCTTGTGGTGAATCGTAGCCCATGACCATTCTCTGGAGACTCACAAAACTGACCCCCACACCTAGTTAGTATTTAAAGGTGTGGTTTGCAAAAAGGTAATTTATTTGGCAATTAAATATAGTGTGATCAATTTTGCTTAAGATTCTTAATCCTGTGATCCAATTTTTTTTTTTTCTTTTAGGGGCAGCGCCTTAATTTATCGGAATACCATGTGCCAAAAAGATGGGCGTGCTTAGCCTGTGCAGAGTTCTGGAGGACAATAAAAACTTCCTGAGTATCAAATATTACTCCATCAAGCACACCCCTCTGGAGCAGGTCTGGTACCTCAAAGGCGTCACCACGTTGTTTTTCTTGAGGCCTACTCCAGCCGATTTAAAAATGAGCCAGATTATACTTCTTGAGATCACCATTTCTTTTATTAATCACCATTTGAGTTTGCAAAATTCTGATAAAGATGGTGAGTGTGAGGGGCCCCATTTATTGTGTGCTCTCCACTCAAGGTAAATATTCGACGTTCAGGGCTTCCATCTGCTCATAATTTCATTGGTCGCTCAGTAAACAGGTCAGGCCCCGTCAGCCTTCCCATCCCCACTTACGCACCGGCCCCCGCCAATAAGTAAAGGGGCTCCACTGTAAGTGAGCTGACTTTGGGAAGAAAAGTGCTTGGTTCCCTGAGTCCCAGAAGGTGAAATTAGATCACAGGTTCAATCTAAAGCCGTGCTTAAGGCATCGAGAATTTCCTGACGATTTATTAATTTTCCAGAAATGTTTATCATTCCTGGAGTTGGGTCCTCAGAAGACCTACCTGTTGAGGGTGATTTAGGAAGGGGTGCTATGAATGAATGGTTATGAGTCTTAGGAAAAGTTGGGCAGGGCTTGGAGAAGATGTTCCCTGTAATAGTTGAGAACAAAGGGTTGAGTGTTCCTCGAAGTTAATTATTTTCATCATTTCTTTCAGATATTTGTTAATTTTGCGACTGAGCAGCAACAAACTGCACCACCTTCTGATCCGTCCACCGGTCGTGAGCACCCACAGAACCTGCCTGTCTAAGTGCTGAAGAAGACGCTGTTCAGAGAAATAAAACCTCCTCTTTTGTTATAATTAAGATTCAAAGATCAAAGGAGCGAGTGGGCGCAGAGGAGCTGGAAGACACAGGGCAGGCAGTCCAATCTCATTCTCTCCTTCATTTTCTGTTTTGAAACTCTTTGTTAATTACACACTGAAAGGTCATTCTTTTCTGCAGACTTTTGGGCAGTTCCTCTGATTCAGTTACTGTCTTTGCCAAGGCGAGATGGGCCGGCTTCCTGGGACATGGGAAGGAATTGACATTCCTTCTGGAGCTGGAAAGGCTGTCAGAGTTTGTCCAGGTCAAACATTCCATTTTAATTTTAAGGAAACTGAGGCCCCCAAGGCTAATCTATTTTTTGTTGTCCTTTTACTAGATTATGCTTACATGTGTCTAAATAACAATTCAGTGATTTAAATGTACCGTTTCTCTAACCCTGGATGACATTATATGTTATGAGATGAAAGCATACCATTTTTTCTTACAAAAGATGCTTTTAAAAAAATAGGGATTAAAGAGCTTTTCAGTCAATGCTTTAGCAAAATTAAATAATTTGAACTGGGTACTCTGTATCATTTACAAAACGTGTGACCAGAATTTCACAGATTATAAATTTAGGGGAATATAGAAAGAAATATAATATAGATGTATTTTCTTTTTATTAATTTGGATTAATAATTACCGTTCTTAAAGTCATTCTAAGTCAGTGGTTTTCAAAGTGTGTTGGTCCCCATAATAGCTGCATTTGCATCTCTTGGGAGCTTGGCAGAAATGAAGGTTCTCAGGCCCAACCCCAAAATCTAAAACTCTAGGGTAGGAGCCCTGCAGTCTCGGTTTAAACAAGTCTCCCTGGTTTCTGTAGCACATTCCAGTTTGAATACCAATGGTCTAAGGAAATATCTAGGTACCTTCTAATTATACAAGCAAAACTAGCACCATATGTAGTAAACATTAATTTTCAAACAATTTTTATATTTCTAAAACTCTGTCATTCTCAGAATTATTGTCCTCAGAGTATTTTAAAATATAAAGTGCTCAGATGTGGCTCTAAAAGGCTTTGTAAACCCCACCGTTTGCATTTTATAGTTAGTAAAACACATCAAATCACCGTGTCTGCTCCTCAAAATGGTTTCCGATCAGACACTTCAGAGTTGAAATATTTCTCAACCTGCTTTGAGTAACATTCTTCTAAAATCCCAATGGAGGACTGCACTGATTTTATTTTACAACTTAACCGTATCCAATTAAGTTTTTGAGTGACAGTAGCTTGTGATCAAAGAAAAACACTTTCTTGTGGTATTTCTTTGCTGAAGCAAGATTTCATTAAAATATATCTTTCCTGAACATAATTCTGTACTAGAGATATTTTTAAATGTTAAGGATTAAGCCAGTTATGGATCGTTTTGATTGAATGATTTTGATTCACATATATCACATGAATTATGCTTTCTAAAAGAAGTTACAATTTAGGGTTTTATGATTTTTCTCCCAATTCTACCATTGTCTCATTGTCAAAATGAAAGATGTAATCTTTTGTTGTTGTTGTTGAATCAATAAGTAACATTTGTGAAACACAAACATGTTTATACTGCCATGAATAAATGAAGTGTGCTTTAATGTAATTGTGTTTCTGCCAGTATATTTCCTTGCATCTTTAGGGATCTAATTTAATTTTGGTAAGGAGGAAATGAAACTACTAGGATCTTTTAAAGCTTGAAAGGTTAACATTTAACTGTGTTTTACTCTGCTGTGTTCTGCTCTTAGGGATTCTTGTCTAGGCTTTGAGTTGCTGTACTCGTGAAGTTCATGCTTCAAGGTATGCCTTTGAACAATAAACAGGAAGGAAAAGAGAAACCCAATGTGCTAAAACGCCCTATCCCAGAATACGGGACACAAAAGGTCAAATCCTCTGTTAATGTTGAAAATGTCATTGCATTTATAAGCCATGCAGATATGTTATGCCTTTGGAGTTAAACATTTGTCTTAAGACCTTTGGGCTTCATGTCACCCAGCTGAGACTTTTAAACAAACTACCGTCTTTTGAAAGCATTCTGAGTGGAGTACTTTGTAAGGCAGAGACAACCTTGATGATTCCACTTCCACTGATCTGGCTTTTATTATATAGTTTATCTTTACCCAGATGTTTAAACAGATGATGTAGTAAAGCCCTCATGCAAAGTCAAGAGTGTAAAATTCAAACAAGAAGTATAATTTTGGAATGGTAAAGAGTAAGGCCTTAAACTTAATACTTAGCTTCGCTTAGTGGATATTGAATTAAAAAACGGCTCAACATTATCCCTCCAAAGCATCTTACAAAATACTTGCACCACACACACCCTCCCCTCAATATTTAGTGTTTGTAAGTAGGACGTGCATACTTCAGCTTAATCACGGATTCTTCTACCCAAATGGGGGATATAGACATTTTAAATTTCCAAATGGGTGTGACCGTGTTCCCTCCTTTGGCTATTGCTTGGGTGTTGCATTATCCAGCTCAGTGTTGGTTTGGGACTGATATGTTTACAGTATGTTTCAACTCAGTTTCACAGCCTTGAATAGTCCAAGCCTTTTCAGTCACACACGTGTGCGTGCACATGATCATTCTTTCAATTAATATTATCGAGCCCATTCTGTGCACATAAATGGATGGTGGGTGCAATAAACATGAAGTGAGGGATTCACAGTGCAAAGCCCCAGCCTCTGTCCTTGAGAAGCAGGCAGTTCGGTGGGGATGGCAGGTGAGGTCTGTGAGCCCTGAGCACACCCTGCTCTCCAACCAAGGGTGTGGGTACAGACCTGGTGGAGTCCCCGCCATCTGGATGGGCCCGGACAAATGGGGAACAGGAAGAAGGATATTGGAAGGTAAGAGAATTTCAGAGCAAATCAACACTACTCAGTGAGCAGTGGCTATTTGCCTACGACTCTGGAGGGAGCTGATGTAATGGCTCCATAGCACGGAGAGCGCAGCTCTGCCACCTCTAGAATTTCCCTTATGTTCCAACGTAGCCGCTGGAGCTCTAGCTATCGCAAAATAGTCAACACAGACAAGAAAAAATACATTGGATTAGGGGGAAAATCACACCATTTAAAGAGGTCTCCTGGCTTATATGACATTGGCCAGAAATAGTCATGTGGCCATATCTTAGCTGCAACTGTTCGGGCAGTACAGTTTTAGCTGTGGACCTTAAATGAAATGTGGCTTCTGATTCTATGCAAGAAGAAAAAAACAGATACTGGATAGGCAGCCAGCAGTTTCTACTACAGGAGCACATAACAAGTTTTGTGGTCGTTTCATGTGAGAACAGAATGAAATCAATTTTGGCCATGTTGAGTGAACTAGGTAATTTCAAATTATGTGACTATTTTTGGGCAACCCAGGTTCTAAGAGTATTACTATTTTCAGGATTAGAGTAGTGTATTAAAATCTGTAGATCAGATGCCATTTGTATTTATAAGCATTATCAAATTGAAACAATAGATAAAAGAATTTTATGGATATTTTCAATTTGGGCTAAATAAATGACACTGTCATTTTCTCACTGTGAGAATTCCTATTGAGAGCTTTAATGGATAAATTTTTCTTGCTGGAAAGGGTTTCAAATTGCTGAAAGAAGTCAGAAGCATTTTTCTTAATTATTTGCTATTTCTTGTCATTGCATGGGAGACATTTCACTATTTTTTTTTTTTTCTTTTTTTGTGGTACGCGGGCCTCTCACTGTTGTGGCCTCTCCCGTTGCGGAGCACAGGCTCCAGACGCGCAGACTCAGCGGCCATGGCTCACGGGCCCAGCCGCTCCATGGCATGTGAGATCTTCCCGGACCAGGGCACGAACCCATGTCCCCTGCATCGGCAGGCAGACTCTCAACCACTGCGCCACCAGGGAAGCCCCATTTCACTATTTTTATCAGTAAATTTATCACATGTTTCTTTACATTCAAGTGTTTTAAGGAAAAATGAATTCTACTGCATTAAATGCATGTCTCAAACCTAGCAAAATGTACTGGTTAAAAAACACATCTAGAAGTTTCACGAGCCCATCTTTCAAATGGAAGGCATCGTGAATACCATATTTGCCGTGGCATTTATGTCCCATGAGTATGGCTTTGTATGCTGAATTCCATGTGTTACCAAATTGTGGGGATATAGTTGTGGTTTTGTTCATTAAACACTGGGAAGTAACTTCAGACAAATCCTTCGTGTAGTGTCATGATGGTTGATCGGTCACTGCTTTTCACCTATTCATAGTTACCCTCAGTGTTACATTGGGGCTTGCTCTACCGAAACGTAAACTAATGAAGACTTCATTTGCCTTTGCAAAAACTAAACCGAATCAGGGCGATGAGCTGGGGTCAGGCAGCGTGTTGAGGGAAGGTCACCAGCTGGGCATAAGCAGATCTGGCTCTGCTTCCAACTTGAGTGAGATCTTTTCCAGCCCATTACTGAAGGACTCTGCCCTTCCATACCTCAAAGTATCTGAGTATTTTCTCTGTAGTTCCTCTGTTTGAAAAGCATGTTTTCCCCTCTCCTTGTTGAAATGCTGTAAAATTTAGGGCGGTGGGAAGATGGGTTCTGAAATAAGAAAGACCTACTCTCAAATCTTGCCTCTTTCACCTGAGAATAGTGGGGCGCTCTGGGTGTTATTCCCACCTCTGTTACCCAGCCTCTGTTCCTCTTTGTGATGAACATGGAGGGCATCTCCAACTCAGGGGGCTGTTCTGAGGATCAAAATTTTTTTTAATTAATTTTTATTGGACTATAGTTGCTTTACACTGTTGTGTCAGCTTCTGCTGTACAGCAAAGTGAATCAGCTCTACGTATACATAAATCCCCTCTCTTTTGGATTTCCTTCCCATTTAGGTCACCACAGAGCATTGAGTAGAATTCCCTGTGCTCTACAGCAGGTTCTCATTAGTTATCTATTTTATACATCGTATCAATAGTGCATCTATGTCAGTCCCAATCTCCCAATCTATCCCTGCCCCCC